CAGCTCTTTGCCGGAGATCCTTCCCGAAGAGAAAGAAGCCAGTTCGTAGTATTCTACTAATAATATCATTGTCTAACGAGGGGCAACAAGAATACAGGAATAAAGCTGATTGTGAAACAGGATAAAGAGGATGATGATATTTGAATTCTTGTAAAAATATCAATATCAAAATTCATGTTGATATCCATGTTTGCTGCATTTACCTATTTATTCATATATCTAATAACAATCACATTCATGTAATAAACCATGCCGTTATTCCTATTATATTATTGTTAACTCTTTGCGATTACTTTCATACTGCTGTTTGCAGCCATGTTTAAGTATCTAGGCCGGAAATAAGTTGCCGTAAGTCTTGTACGGCAATTCAAATACTATGTGGCAACGCTTTGCCAGCCACATTCGTCCCATGTTGGCAGACCAGGTGCACACACACACACACACACGCACACACACACACACACACACACACACACTCACACACACACACACACACTCACTCACTCACTCACACACTCACACACACACACGCCAGTGGATGGTAACCCCGGCCATTCCTTGTACACAGGGGAAAAGTTAGAAGCATAATAAACAGACAAGCTCTAAACTGACACAATTATTATTATCATTATTATCATTATTTTTATCATTATTATCATTATTATTACCTCCACCAAGGAGGTAATGTTTTTGATGGCGTTGGTTTGTTGGTTTGTTAGCAGCATAGCTCAAAAAGTGCTGGCCGGATTGCATCGAAATTTTGGGGACAAGTCAGAAAGGGAATAACTTAGAACTGATTAAATTTTGGTGACATTCCGAATTACCGTCTGGACGCAGCAGCGGTGTAAGTACATCCGAAAGATAATCATGATATTTTTGGACTTGGCCGTGTCCCGGGTGTCACTGTGGATGCAGTAGCGGTGCAAGTGCATCCGAGCGATAATTAAAAAGCGAATTTTAGCTTTTTAATTGTGTATGAGGGCTAATTTTTTTAACTATAACCCCAAATTCTCACTGATATTTATTTTCCCGTAAAAATCTTTGTTATCATTATTATCATTATTATTACCTCCACCAAGGAGGTAATGTTTTTGATGGCGTTGGTTTGTTGGTTTGTTAGCAGCGTAGCTCAAAAAGTGCTGGCCGGATTGCATCGAAATTTTGGGGACAAGTCAGAAAGGGAATAACTTAGAACTGATTAAATTTTGGTGACATTCCGAATTACCGTCTGGACGTAGCTTTTTAATTGTGTATGAGGGCTAATTTTTTAAACTATAACCCCAAATTCTCACTGATATTTATTTTCCCGTAAAAATCTTTGAGACAAAATGGCCATCATACACAATTAAAAGCAAACTGTTGCCTTTTAATTGTGTATGAGGGCCTTTTTTTTTCTTTTTTGAAGAAACTCCGAGCTGTCTGATCCTTTTCATCCTCAACCAAAGTATATATATTATATATGCACCTTGGTGGAGGTCTGCACTCTCTGAGTGCTTTTCTAGTTATTATTATTATTATTATCATTAATATTATTATATATTATATATGTGTGTGTGTATGTATATATATATGTATGTATGAATGAATGTATGTATATATGTATGTATATATATATATATATATATATATATATATATATATATATATTTTTTTTTTTTTTTTTTTTTTTTTTTTTTTTTTTTTTTTTTTTTTTTTTTTTTTTTTTTGTATATATATATACTGTCATTCAATCCACTGCAGAACATAGGCCTCCCTCAGTTCACTATTGACAGGCTATATGGCAATGTCACCCTTGCCTGATTGGATGCCCTTTAGGTATATTCATATATGCATGCCCAGAATATGTACATGCTCAGTTTCAGACAAAAACTAATGGTTTGTGTGTTTGTGCGTGTATGTTTGTGAGTGTTTGTGTGTGTGTGTTTGTGTTTGTGTGTGTGTGTGTGTGTGTGTGTGTGTGTGTGTGTGTGTGTGTGTGTGTGTGTGTGTGTGAGTGTGTATGTGTGTGTGTGTGTGTATGATATACATATATATATATATGTATATAAATGTATATATATATATATATATATATATATATATATATATATATATATTATATATACAAATATATATGAATATTTATATACATATATATATATATATATATATATATATATATATATATATATATATATATATATATGTGTGTGTGTGTGTGTGTGTGTGTGTGTGTGTGTGTGTGTGTAGGATGGCCCATATGGAGTGCTGAAGATTGCATTGCTGTCGAGACTGTAATCTTCTCTTACTACCAGACTTCAGGAATTTTTCAGCAAGGAAGAGCTCGGCAACAAAAAAAACTTTGATTTGTTATGTCGAATGATGAAGCTCCTTGGTGACAAGTATGGTAATACGATCTTTTTACAGCTTTTCTTCAATCACCTGCCTTCACATATTCAACAGGGATTATTCACGGTAAAAGGGAAGCTCACTATCAATGAACTTGCTAAATTAGCAGGTGAGTTTATGGTGTCGCTTCCTACTTCTCATTCTCTGGCTGAAGGAGCATATATATATGGAGAACTACAACCTATGATGACTACAGAGCCCTCAGTGCTCAGATGGTGATGGATCGTTACCCAATTCCCAACATTCAAGAATTAACTTCTGGATGTTCCATCTTCTCCAAAATTGATCTGGTTAAAGCATTCCACCAAATACCAGTCCACCCTTCACACATCCCGAAAACAGATATCATCACCCCATTTGGATTGTATGACTATGTCCAGATGTCTTTTGGACTGAAGAATGCTACACAAACATTTCAGCATTTCATTGTTTTACGAGATTACCATTTGTCTTTGCTTATATTGATGATCTACTCATCGCCAGTAAGGATGCTTTTGAACATCAGGATCATCTAATGCACGTCTTCAAACGACTGAACGATTACAGTATCCAAATTAATGGAGACAAGAGTATGTATGGAGTTTCGTTTGTTGAGTTTTTCGGCCACACAGTTTCTCCAGCAGGATGATTAACTATTATAACAAATTCATTCCGAAGTGTTCTCTTCTTCTCCAACCTCTGTATTCCATAATCAGAAAATGCAAGAGAGGTCAGTCAGTTGCTCTTGTCTGGACTCCTGAAGCTGATATTGCCTATGATGCTACCTCAGTGCAATAACTACACTCAGTTTTCCCAGTCAAGATGCCACAACGTCCATCACTACTGATACCTCCAACATTGGAACAGTTCTGCAACAATATGTAGAAGGTAGATGAAAACCTTAAGCCTTTTTCTCAAAACAACTAAATAATGCTGAACAGAACTATAACACATTTTATCGACAACTTTTAGCTATTTCTAAGGCAATCAAACGGTTTTGGGAAGAAGTTCCACATTTTCAACGACCTCCAAGACACTCTCTAGTATTTTCAACACCAACAAGTCTAGCTACACTCATTGACAATTTCGTCATATTAGCTACATTTCACAGTTCACCTCAGACATCTGGTGCATCAAAGGCCAAGATGATAATCCAGCTGATTCCCTGTCTCGCAGTGTCTCTGCTGTCAATTCTTCCCTCATCGATTATGCAGCAACTGCCTAAACCAAGCGAATGATGCTGAGCTGCAGGAGCTTAAAGATAATCCTGCATTTCAGTTGAAGAAAATTCCTGGAATAGCTGTAGACCAGTATGTTGATGTTTCTACAAACACCATTCGTCCATATCTACCTCAGAGCAACTCCATGACATCTCCCATCCTGATATGTGTGTGTCACATCTTCTGACCTCGAGATTCATCTGGACTGGTATCAACAAAGATGTAAGAAACTGGACCCGTTCTTGCATTCAGTGTCAAACTTCAAAGGTAACTCGCCATCCAATTTCTCCTTCTATGCTCTTCAAACCGGTTACCTCTTGACTCGACCATGTTCATGTTGAACTTGTTGAAGTACTATCCAATTTAACATCAGACAGGGAAGTCAGTCTGAGTTGCAACTTTGAGGCAAACCTATCAGCATGAAGACTGGATTACTTTTCTCCCTCTTGTGCTTTTTGCTATCAGGAACTCACTCAAATCAGACCTTGGGTCCACTTCTGCTGAGCTTGTTTATGGAACATCAGTATGGCTATCTGGTGAATTACTCTACAGTTCTACTAGCTCCATTACCAACCCTAACCATAATTATGGAGCCAAGCTCAGGGATGTGATGTCTAAGCTTCGACCTGTTCAGCCACGGCAGCCGTCTTCAAGTAAGCCAGGATTGTCACGACTGTTCCCATATGTTTGTCCAAGTAGATTCCATCTGACGTCCACTATAGCCACCATATGAAGGTCCACATGTTCTTGGGCGCACAAGGAAAACTGTTACCATCAACCGCAATGTGTCTTCTGACGCAATCGCTTACTTGCTAGATGTACCTAACTCGCAAACCATGCCAGCCTCGTATGTTCAACGAAAGAAATCTATCGTTCCTCCTTCCTCGTCTCTAGGAAGGCATTAATGTAGTAATATCGTAGTCTTACCTGAACTGTAGTAATAGTTATGAATTTCTGGTTTACCTTTATTTATTTCTCATACAATAATTACTGTTGATATGTGTACTATGTAGAATATATTATCTTTGTATGTTTAAATGACAAATGTTTGTTTATTGCATAGTTATGTTGTCAAAAATACTTGTAAATCCCCAGTCCATTGTACATAAGTAATCTCAGGAAATTTAATAAAATAAAACACTATAAACAGTTTGGCTACAGATCTTTAGTGATAAAACGGTGCTGTTAACAGAAAACCTATCATGATCCTAAATAAAGTCTATGCAATTCTTCCCATGGCATAAATACCTCTTTACCTGGGATGCTGCCTGGGTGAGTCGTGCATGAAGGCGAACCAGAAGGCGCACCAGACGAGAGACAGCACGCCCGTCACATAGAAGGCCACTGCCCACCCGTGCGCCGCGATGATCACGCCGCACAAGGGCAACGTTAAGGCTGTGCTCAGTGTTGCAC